CGAAGAGATTCGCGAGGCAGTACGCCCCACATATCTGGAATAACACTCAGCGTATGGAGGCTGCCCCGAAAATGGTTACAAATTTTATTCTTTTTCACCTCCTACTTTCTTTTTACCTACACTAGATACCCCCCAAGTCTAGAATATCATCCTAGCATCGTAAGCAAGCCCAGGAGAGCCCGAAGATCCCGAGAAAAGAGTTTTTCGAGCCAAAACTCTGCCCGCATGAAGCCTGGTTTTTGAGAAAACATCCCGGTTTCGTCAGAAAAGATTATTTTAAGAGACAAGCTGCTGCCCAATTATCGTTAAAACATGTGAGTGTATAGTCACCTTCATCTTACACATAGATATGGAGTATTTTCTATAAAATACATGTTATGTGTATATATATTGTTTGTTTATTTGAGATGAATATTGAATGAATGTTTTATACAGGTTTCAGACTGTATACGTATTTTTATCTACAAATACGTTGGGTAAAACATGGGTAGATGGAATAGTTGATGTGTGATAAAATGATGAGAGACATCGATGTGGTTGTTGTTGTTGTAGTCATCTAGCAGAGTATAGATGACGACCACAAACATTTTTAGACAGTCCAGTGGAACTCTACCAGCCTCACAACCTGTAGGTGTTGGTGAACTATATGTTCGCTAGTGTACTCCATCCCCCTCATGGTTGTCTTAAGAACACGTATGGCCGAGGAATCCCCTTAGCAGTAGTGTCCATCCCGATAATGATCCTTAGGCTATGTCCCTTATGATAGGTGTTTAGGGACGTAAAGTGAGGATAACGGGAACGGGTAATTAGGGTTATTGTTGGGTGATGAAATTAATAAATTTATTGTTGGTTGATGAAATTAATAAATTTATTATATGTGGGTAGAAAACCTTATATCCTCACCATACTCCTTAGCTTGACCCACTCAACTTTTTATATTACAGGTAGTGGACCCAGAGCATAGTTGGATGATGAATAGGGATTTTTGGATTATAGACCATTAGATATAAATATCTGTTGTAAGGTCTATAATATACTATTTATGCTTTTGGTATGTATTGATGTGGACAACCCGAGTTTTGTAATGAAATGAAAAATACATTTCTTTAAGAAATGTTTTGATAAATTTTTATCATATTTTGTTTTGGGACAAATTCCGCATATTTTTATCGGAGAGATTACTCTAATTTTATTTTAAAAGCATAAACTAAATCAGTCTTTTCTGGCCGAGAAATTGGGGATGTCACAGTTGGTATCAGAGCATTAGTTTAAGAAAACTAGGGATTTGTAGGATTTCAAGACTTAAACTTAGAATGCTAAGTGATGATTGTAAGATGAGTATCTACCATATTTTAGACATGAGCACTAGTATATTTTAGGAAAGATGCCTAAAATGCATTTATGTGCTAAATGTTATATGTTTTCCATATACGCCATTAATTGTTCGGATATATGGTCTGTTGACGACCGGATCTGGAAACCTTATGTGTTCAAAATTCTAAGCGTATGACTACGATATTAGAACTAGCATGTAATGTTTCGGAGTGATAAGGATCTAAATTCGCCTAATTTGGTGTATAGATCAAAATGACAAGAACTCAAAGTGGAGCTGGAAATGCAAATAGAAATCAGCAACCTCAACCTCAAGTGATGGAACAAGTGCCTATAGCAGAAGCTGCACCAGAACCAATCACAATGGCTGGAGTGCAAGCCATGATTCAAGCCATGATGGTTGACAAAAGGGAGGAAATGAGACAATTGTTGCTGAACAACAGGAGTGAACCTTCAATACCTGTTGAACAACTAGAATTAAATGACGGTTAATCAGAGAAAGGAAATTACGGCTCACCTGCGTGAGTTATTCGATCACAGTCCCATTACTCTTCTGTCAGTTGGCTCAGACTTTGGCCTCATTCCGTTTAAACTTTTTAACTCTTGGCTTTTAAGAGACGACTTTGATCAAGTTGTATATGATGCATGGAATTGATTTATGGGTTTTGGACCTCTTGATGCTTACCTGGCAGCTAAACTTAGATTCGTAAAAGAGGCGATTAAGAAATGGAGGAAGGATGAAGGTATGAAAGAAAAAATGGAGCTCAGTGATACTAAAACTCTAGTTAAAAATCTAGAGAAGCTTGAGGAATCCATACCCATTTCTACTGGTGAAGTGGTCTCATGGAATAATGGGATTAAAAATATTATGGAGATGGAAAGATTGGTGACTTTGGATCTAAAACAAAAAGCTAGAATTAAATGGACCATCGACGAGGACGAAAATACAATTTTTTTTCATGGCTACATCAACAGCAAAAATAGAAGGAATCTCCTGCATGGACTCATGATTAATGGTCGATGGACAACTGAGGTCAATGAGTTCAAAGGTGAAGTCTTTAGATTCTATTAAACAAAATTTAAGGAGGACCACATATCTAGACCGAAACTTATCAGCCCGATGTTTAAAACAATCTCAATGATGGAAGCCATAAGAATTGAAGTCGCCTTTAGTCTAGAGGAGGTTAGAGGTGCGATTTGGGATTCTGGATGTGAAACAGCCCTAGGGCCTGACGGATACACTTTCAGGTTTCTTAAAAAATATTGGAACACAATTAAATTCGATGTGCTAAATTTCGTGAGACACTTTGAAGAGTATGGTTCGTTCTCTCGGGGGAGCAACTCTTCATTCATCACCCTTGCTCCTAAAATTAAAGATCTGTTATCTTTGAATGACTTTCGTCCCATAAGTCTAATCAGATGCCTGAGTAAGATCATAAGTAAGCTACTTGCCACTCGATTGAAGTCCGTAATTGGTACTATAACTGGTGATGTCTAGTCGGCATACGTGGAAGGGCGCTGTATACTCGACAGACCTCTTATGATTAATGAGATTTGTTCATGGGCAAAGCGAATTCGAAAGAAAATCTTACTCTTCAAGTTCGATTTTGACAAGGCATTTGAATCGTTAAATTGGGAATCCTAAACTTGATTTTTGAACAGATGGGGTTCGGGAACAAATGATGGATGTGGATTCGGGGGTGTTTAAGTTCATCTCGGGTATCTGTCATTATCAATGGATCTCCCACTAAAGAATTCCCTATAATGAAAGAGGTTCGGCAGGGGATCCTCTCTCACCATACCTATTCATTATTGCTATGGAAGGATTAAACGTGGCCCTCCAATCTGCATGTAACAAAGGCATCTTTAAAGGAGACCAAATTCTGAGCAAAGGACCAACTATACCTCACATATTCTACGCCGATGATGCGTTGTTCATTGGTGAATGGTCTCATGTTAATCTCAAAAATCTTGCGTATATACTAAGGTGCTTTCACATAGCATCGGGTCTTAAGGTTAATTTTCACAAATCCAGAGTCTTAGGTATTGGGGCCACTACTCAAGAAACTGTGAATTGGGAAAATCTACTGGGGTGTAATGCTGGTGTTCTTCCATTTGACTACCTTGGTGTTCCAGTTGGTGCTAACATGAACCTCATCAAGAATTAGAAACCAATTATCAAAAAATTTCATTCTAAACTCTCTACTTGGAAGGCTAAAACCCTCTCGTTTGGTGGCAGACTAACCTTAATAAAGTCAGTCCTTGGTAATCTTCCTACTTACTACTTGTCCCTATTCAAAGCTCCAATCGGTGTGTTAGGTGAGATGGAGAAAATCAGACGAGCTTTTTTATGGGGAGGAAATGAAGATAACAAGAAAATACACGGGGTTGCATGGGACAAGGTCTTGGCTGTTAAAAGTGATAGGGGATTGAGAGTGGGTTCAATATAAGAGTTAAACATAGGGATACTTGAGAAATGGTGGCGACGACTTAAAAATGAGAACCAATCTCTTTGGGCTCGTGTAATTCAGGGGATACATAACTTATCGGATAAGCCCTTTGAATACTTGTTTAAGCAAAAAGGCAGTGAGGTATGGAACATCATAGGAGGAATCAAAAAGGAATTGTTGAAGCATGGACTGGATGTTAAAAACATCTTCAAACTAGTGATTAAGTCTGGGAATGATACTCTATTTTGGTATGACTCACGGTTGGGTTCAGGAAACCTAAAAGCAAAATATCCTTCCTTATTTGAATTGGAGAATAGGAAAAAAATGCACTGTAGCTGGCAGGATTTCAGTACCTATACACTCATGGAATTGAAAATCACGTACTATTGATCATGGATTAGAGTCTGCTGTCAGAGATCTATCAAGGGACATCCCAGTCACTCGACTAGGCCAGTATTAGATCAGTGGAGTTGCTTGTTAACTAATGATGGGAGGTACAATGTTTGCTCTCTTAGACAGATCCTTGACAAACATTCAGGGAACACTCTTGGCGTTGCGATAATCAAATGGAGCAAGGTAGTTCCAATCAAGGTGTTATGCTTTGTTTGGAGAGTTGTACAAGATAGAATACCATCAGCGGTTGCTTTGGAGGTTAGGGGTATACAAGTCAATTCTTCACTGTGTAGCATGCGCATTGGAAGCCTAGAAAGTGCAGACCATATACTTATTGAATGCCACTTTGCATCTATGATTAGAAACAATATCATGAGTTGGTGTGGAGTGCAGCTCGATCAAAATTCAATCAAGAATGTGGAAGACCTACTTCAATTTGCTGCCTCGTGGGAAAGATGTCCTAAGAAAAGAGATAGGCTAGCAATCATTTGCTATGGACTATTGTGGAATCTATGGAGGTTTAGGAACAAGCGATTATTTCAATTGGAATGTATATCATCTCAGCATAGCATGTGACGGATTGTATTAAGTCCATGGTTTTTTATTGATTAAAGCATTAGGGGTAAAAATATATATTCTAACTGGGAAGAGTGATTTGTCTCTCCTTTTGGTGATTTGTAATATTCTCAACTATATGTATTTTGTTAAATTGGTCCTTCATCTTAGTTACTTGCTATCGTGAGATATCTCTCTTATATTTCTAAAAAAAGAAAATTTAGATATTTTAAGTTTTATTTGTAGGGATAATGGTTACTTTATTTAAGAAAACGATGAATAATATATTGACAAAGCGTCTTTAGTCAGCAACCCTTTCCACCATTAAAAATGGAGTAATATATACTCTGACGGCCCATATACATTCCACAGACGGCACACTTCGATCATCTCACTCTCATCGGAATCTGTTTCACGGCTACCATTTCCATAGATTCGGCTGGGATTTGGCACATCACCCTCTTCTCTTCTGCTTCATCTTCTTCGAATCAACCCAGCCGAGTCACACTCGCTTCCACTCTTCCTTCTCTACATCGCAATCATGACTTTGTCAATTGTCCAAGTTAGTTTTTGTTTTCATTCTCTTTTTGTAACTCATATGATCCATTTATGTATTTGCCTTGTGATTCTAATCGTTTTTGTTATGGACTTTTATTTCCATATTTGGTGAAATTAGGGGTTCAGCAAATCTCTTGCCATGACCGTTCTCTCTGAAATTGGTGACAAGACGTTTTTCGCAGCTGCCGTGAGTTCGATCCTTACTTCTTTTAATCTAATTTGCTACCTATTTGATTCCTTTTGTTGTTAAAGCTTTTTTTTTTTTTTTTGGGTAAATCACCGAATATGATCCTCAGTTGACGATATAAATCGATATCGTTTTCAATCTGGTTTCGACTCTTCTCCTTTTCACTTATAAACGGAATTGGTTATCTCAACTTTCTTCCATTGATATTCTCTAAAACAATCTAATTACAGATACAATTATTTGAGCTTAGAATGAGCAATTAACAGACTCCAAATGTTTAATTGATGTTGTGATACTGATTCTAGATCTTGGCAATGCGTCACCCAAGGAGACATGTCTTGGCGGGATGCCTTACAGCTCTCATCGTAAGCTCTTCTCTTCTCCTTTTTCTCCATATATTTGCAGATATCACCACTCAAAAACTCGACCCACTGGTTTTTTAGGTAATGACCATTCTTTCCGCTGCTGTTGGCATGGCTGCTCCGAACCTGGTATGTTTCTTCCACACAACAGTCAACACATGCTTTTGAATTGTGATAATCTGTTCTTTCTCTAATCAGTCAACATATCAAGCGCGTGTTCATCTTCATCCCCATTTCTGAATTTGTTATGATTATAATGATACAGATCTCAAGAACATTGTCAAAGCATATAACCACTGTGTTGTTCTTCGGTTTTGGACTATGGTCTTTATGGGATGCATATCATGATGGGTAACACATCTTCACAATTCACAATTTCTACATATAATCTTTAGAATCCTTACAACAAATTATGATCTTTGTTTTGACTAACAGGGAATCTGAAGAGTTGGCTGAAGTTGAAGCTGAATTGGTCCGTATCTTTTTTTTTTTTTTTTCCCATTTTACCCTTAGTTTATACTTTAAGTTTTGGATTACAATTTCTTCTCATCATCTGTGTAGGATGCCAACATAAAACCAACTAAATCAGATAACAAGGTAAATCTTGATTTCTTATTCTGTTTCTTTAATGTTGGTTTTAAAATTTAAATCCCATTATGTGTTATGATCTTTCAGGCTGATGATGATTTAAAGAAAAAAACCAGACCATTGTTGACTCAATTCTTCTCACCCATTTTTCTAAAGGTATCTGATCATGCAACTTTTCATCTTCTTCTTTTTTTGTTTCAAATGATATGATATTTAACACATAGCTATTTCACAGGCTTTTTCTATAACTTTTTTTGGAGAATGGGGTGACAAAAGTCAGGTGAATATGAATCTTGAAAGAATCTTTTAAAAGTATATATCATAAACATGTTTAAAATCAAGATTTTGATTAAATGTTAAAATTTTCAGTTGGCTACAATAGGTTTGGCTGCAGCTGAGAATCCATTGGGTGTTGTTCTTGGAGGAATCTTGTAAGTTTATTTGTTTTTTAACTTGGGAATCTAGTTTTTATTTTTATTTTTATATATTTTTTTGTTAATGGATTGTGTGTGTGTGTGTGTTTGTTAGAGGGCAAGCATTGTGTCAAACTGCTGCTGTGTTTGGAGGGAAAAGTTTAGCGACTCAAATATCTGAGAGATTTGTAAGTGAAAGTTATTGATTTTGTATTTTTGTTATTATAAATATTTTTTATATTTGAAATAAATGTTTGTGAATTTGATGCAGATTGCATTATCGGGTGGAGTTCTTTTCATTGTGTTTGGACTCCAATCATTGTTTTCAAGGGTGGAATCATGATTCCATTCCAGCTTCTAGGTAGAAAATAGTTATTTGTGGTTTTATTGTATATTTGTATATAATATTCTCCAATCCCAATATTGCTTTTTTGTTGTTTGCAGAAAAAATAGGAATGAAGCACAGTTGAATGAAGAAAAAAAATACTGGCTTTTTAACATTTTGATAAAGTTAAAGAATTTTAAAAAAATAGAAAAGGAGTTATTGTCCTTTTGTAGTTGAAAACTTGATGCATTTTGCCAACACAACACTTGTGGTGTTTTATCTATATCTTGTTTTTGCATACATTAAATACTTAGAAAGTGTTTGGTATGATGGAATCAAGAAAGAAATGGAATGGAATCTTTCATTCCATAGAATGAACGATTCCTAGAACCTAAAAGAATGTGATTCCTTAAAACTTTGTTCATTTTTAAGTTTTCTTTTTTCTTTATTCCATGGTGGAATAGAATGGAAATTTGAAATGACATTTTTTTTTTCATTAAGTATATAATTTTATCAAAATCACAAAAATTATTGTTTTTGTTATAGCTTATTTGAGGTTTAATAAGCTTATGTTATATTCAATTGTTATTTTTGTAGATAGAAGTTCGTTAATTAGAACTATATACATATTGTATTATAAAATATTAAAATGAAAATTCGTTTTATTTATACACGACATTTAAATGTGAATACAAAAGTAATAACTTATTTCATTATTTTGTTTGTTCCATCTCGTTGATTTGTCATTCAGTTTTATTGACCAAAACAACCTTGATCTAATTGCAACATATTAACAGGATTAAATATATTTTTGTTTCCATTTAATAATGTATCTAATCTTATAAATTAAACAATACAAATCAAAACCCTAACGATGATTTCAGTGGGAAAACAAGAGACAGAAAATTACACCCCTACATAGATGCCACCTAGAAAGAGTCGAATCCTAAAAATACATATCTCGAATGGGAAAAAGTTGAATATCTTTATAGATGAAACAAATATAATCCATATATATGTATTCAACCAGATAGAAATGTTACTGCTTTTAACTTAAATTTCGATTACAATATGATATTACCATTACACAAATACATCACGTTAACAAACTTTAATTACTACTAAATTGATTTACTGATAAAACTTGTAAGAGGCTGAATCGGCGATTATATTCCTGAATCCACCAATGGTTGACGCTAGCATTATGAACACTCCCACGAATATTCCCACCTGAAAATCCACCTCATAATAATATAATCCCAACGTCTTTTCATATATATATATATATTTATTATTTCATATTTATGTCAATTTTTTAAGATTGTAAATTCTTACCCAATTAACTATCCATTGGGTGGTGAACTTCTTGGGTTTCTTCAGTATCAGCCATATTATACTTGGAAGCTGCAAAAATTATAGTATAAAATAATTACTATAATTTTAATTTCATTACAATCGTGTATAATTAAAAATTAAATTAGGGAAAATGACTTACCATAATAATAATCTTAGTTGCTTTGTTCACAATTCAGTAACTTCTTTATTTTTATACATATTTAAATATTTAAATTGTTATATGTGTTCACGTATTGTCATTGTCACCGGTTATAGTAGGTGATAATAATAATATATGAACAAATTAACAAGTTAAATGGTTAAATATATACAAACAAAAGTTCTCTAAATGTGAACAAAACGAAAAGTTAGTTATTCTGATAAGTCATTTTCCTCACTTTTAATAATGGTTTTATTTTTCATTATTGTTTGTATTATTTTTTTCAAATGTTATTTTTAAAATATCTACAATTTCTTAAATTTTAATTAAATATTGATTAATTTTAAACTTTACTTTTTAATTAATAAATTTGTTTTTATTTTTGATATAAGATCCTACATACTTATTCATATTAAATTTATTAAATTTTATTAAGTATGTTTTTGTTTTGTGAAATACTTTATAAAGCCTCTTATAAAAAATTTCTTTTATTTTTAAGCATATACAATATTTTAAAAATAAATAGTATCTAATAATAAAATTAAATATGAATAAGTATGTAGGATCTTATAAAAAAAACAAAAAAAAATCTGTATAAATGTAAATGTTTAAAAATTATTTCAACTTTTTATTACTTTTTAATTAGAAGTTTATAAACTTTTAATTTTTTAATACAACGTTTTAAATTAGTATTTAACGAAAGTATTTTAAAATGTTATAAAAAAATATTAAATTATCATACAAAATCTGTGAAACATTTTAAAAAATGTTGTAACAGAAAATTTAGAAATAAATGTATGAAAGTTATAAAAATTTATATGAAAATGTTTTAAAAAAACAAGTTAAAAAAACTTGTAAGAAAATTTTAATCATTATATAAATATTTGGTTTAAAAACACTTGTACTAAAAATTATATACTAAAATTATATAAAAATATAAAAAAAGTTTTAAAAAGTATATGTAAACAAAATTTAAAACATTGTATTAGAAATTATAGGAACAAAATATTATAAAAATGGTGTAATAAATTTATAAAAATAATGTTCACATTTAGACAACTTTAGAAAATGATTTGCAATGGTAATTGCATTTTCTAATAAAATGAATATAAATCTTACGAAATAAGAAGTCGGAGCAAAACCAAATCCACCGAAAAATCCAAGAAGATCGCCGAAGAAAGGAAACGTCACCGCCATGAACAACGTGAAAGCTTCAAAATTTCCATTAATTTTATCAAATATTTCATCAAATATTTTTAATTATTTATATTACAAAATACGAAAAAAAAAAAAATGCTTACCAACATAACAAGTACGAACAAAAAGTCTCAGTGCCACTCCAGAACGAACATTGAATTTCTTTGTTAATACTTTTTCTATTAAAGCAAATAATGGCATTGCAAATACCTGAAAATAATTTTTAATCATTAAAAAATAGATAAATAAATAAAATAATAAGTGTAAATTTCACTGTTTTAACGAACCTGATAACTGCCGAGAACATGGACGACAACCATCAAATTAGCAGCGGCGATGAGCCACGACGGTTTTTGCAGCGCAACCAGAACGTTATCGGTAACATCTTGACCAAACGCCCAATACCCAATAATCGCCACCGGAAAATAACAAACGGCGTTCACAAAATACGCTCCAATCGCGCCTTTCCACATCGCCACCCTCGACGGTTTCCCCGGCGTCGAAGGTATCGTCGCCTGGATTTCAAGCGCCACCGCATGCCCTGCATACGCAAACGAAATCTGACCCAACGCGTTAAAAACTCGAAATATCGAATCAGCGCCGCTTGTTTTCTTGTAATCGTAGCTCACGTCTGGTTGTCTTCCTTTACTCAGGCAACCCGCCCAAGCTATCGTCGAATAACTGTCACAATGAACAGATTAGGAGTCGAAATTCGTCAGATCTGATGGACAATTGTATCGGTGGAGTTGATTAGTAATTACCATAGTGACATAACGGCGGCGGCGAGTGAAACGCCGTACACAGAGTTGAAATTAGGGAGCTGAGAGAGGAGAAAATGTGTGGAGCCGAAGATGACGATCCAGTATGAATGTCTAAGCTGGGTGCAGTCGTCGCAGATCATTTCCATGAACTTTTGGAGGCAAGTTCCGCCGGTGACCATGTACACAATGTTCACTCCGACTTGTACTATCAGCTGTTGTGGTAGTACTATCCATGGCCCTAGCTTCGGGCCGAAAGCATGTCTGGCTAGATCGATGTATCGATCGAAACGAACTCCGGTGGTGGATTCATGGAGTTGGATCAAAAGCCAAAATGTGTGTAACGTCATGCACCATGAAATCACCATTACTGCCATACCTGGACCCCTGTTGATTGTTCAATATTCTGCAAATCAATATCTGTAAAAATTTGAAAAAAGTATGAATTCAAGAAGATGAATTAAGATGTGTTTTCACACCATCCTAGGTAAGCCATAGCGTAAGGTAAACTTAGAACTCCGGCACCGACCATGGCGGTGACTGTATGAAACGTCGAGTACCACCATTTCGCTTCACGTCGTGGCCCTTGTTCTTCTTCTTCCCACTCTCCCTCCAATGGAGCTTCCTGTAATTTGATTTCATTTTGAAGAATGAAGATACAAGGAATTCGATCAAAGTACAATGGGGCTGGTTAACTAACCTTGGGAAGCGGAGGAGAAGAGGCGGAAACCATCGGAGCAACGGCGGATGGCGGGGAATTCTGGGTGACGAGTGGAGGTAGGCAGGATTTATGGTTATGTCTTAATCTTTGAATTTCATCATGGTTTTGTAGTTGTGGTGGAGCTCTCACTCTAGAAAAAGGTTTATTGTTTATTAAGTGGAATAAAGGAAGTCATTCTCTTGCAAAAAGCAATGATGGTAAATTACGTATATTACTTTTGTAATAACTTATACTTATTAATGGAGTATTAGATAGATCATAAATGTTAATCTATCCATTTTGATGATTTGATATAATAAATCTAGATACAATGCATCTTTGCCATGATATTGTATCAGTTTGGGTTAGATTTTTTTTTTCTTTTTGTTAAAATCAAACCCTAGAAAGATGGTTTTTTGGTTTTAAAACTCAAATGGATTTACGTTTGAAATGTGCTGTTAATAAGACACTCTATCATCACTTTTATAAAAAGTCAACTTATAATCAATTTCTTTGGAAAACAATGCAATTTCAATCAATAAAAATATTTCAAAAATTAATTAGGATTGTCTAAATGGTAAAATGAGATGTCTTTTTAGCCAACCCCGTTTGAATGGGTTGGTTTTTTGATTTTTTCAGTTTGGGTTTATAGGTTTTCAGTTTGAACACGTGGATTTTTGGGTTCTAATTTTTTTTGGTTTTTGGGTTTAACCCCACTAAAAATATGTTGTTATTAATGATACCATATTCAATTTAAATATACTAAAATAATTTTAATTTTGTTTATCCCTATAGGATGATATTTTGTTTACTTATAGACTTTCATAAGGAAAAACCAAATCAACATATTTTTCATGTACTTTTATATGTTAATGTATTTCAAATCGGTGTAACACATTTCTATAAGTGATTATATACACTCACGTTCCAACTCTTTCCACAAAGACTCTTTTGTAGAGTAAACCGATGACTCTACATATATGTGTAGCCTCATCAAGCATTTGTCTCCGATGAGAATGTTAGTGTCTCTCATATCAGTGCTATATGATCATATAAATGTCTATATATATATATATATATATATATATATATATATATATATATATATATATATATATATATATATATATATATATATATATATATATATTTTGAAGTCTTTTCTCCCTACATAAGAGTTTTTTTTGGAGAATAAATCAAGGACTACACCTCATGAATGAAACTTGAATAGTTGATAACAAATTTTGTTTGAATATTTACACTTTTCAATTTTGAACTTCAATAATATGCAAATGTTCTATAGAAAATTATAATATTTCATTAAATTATTGAATGGCATGATAGTCATAAAATTATTTGCAACAAATAAAGTATTCAAGTGGACTAGTGGAGTCATGTCCAGATATATGGGGAGATTAAACCACTT